TCGCCTTTCCCGCCCGCATCCCGCTCCGCGTCCGCCGCGATGCTCCGCGCGCTTGGCCGACGGCTCCTCCTGGTCGCCCGCCGCGCCTGGTGGCAGCATCCACGCCGGTGCTTGGTCCATGCCGGGAGCGCACCTGCGGGCAAGGTACCAGGTGAGTTCGTAAATGCGCCTGCAGATCTGCAAAAACGCCTGCGGAGTACGGACAGACAGGACAAGATAAACTCGCTGGAATCCTGGGCTCCTCCAGATTTCGAGTGGTATCCACTGGGCAGTGCCCCCGAGCTACACTGGCTGCAAGATGTCGACGCGCCGTGGATCCGAAGGCAAAGACACTCCCACAGACGCAGCATTGATTTGATACACATAGAACGCGGGCTAGAGATTGAAACCCATGGTGGGCAAGAAGGTGCGTGTGCAGCGCTCGTCGGTCCCGGAGGCGACTACCACATGCATCCCCAGACTCCAGCACGAGCTTGCACGCGAAAAGCGCCTCCTCCCCCCCATCCTCGATGACTTCCACAGGCCCCGGAGACGACGCTCGGGTGGGGGGTGGAGGAATGGCCACCGATAGTGCGTGAGAGCGTAATTGACGAACGTCAATCATACAAAACGCCTCCTGGAACTCAGGCTCCGAGAATGCTAACCAATAGCGTTCCTGCAATCTTTCCAAGAACTCAGCCCCCTCATCCAAACAGCTGAGACTCGCAATGTCGTGCCGCGCACTTCTTCCCCATGGGGAAAGAGACGATGGCAACCTTCCGCTGTGGAACACTCTGGGGGGGGGGGGGATCGTGGAAAGTGCCAAACAAGACTGCGATTTCTTGCCTATGGGCGCCAGGTCGCAAAGCCAGTTCTTGCCAGAATCTGAGGCGGCGAATGCGCGCTTCGACGTCAAGTGGCGCAAGCCTCCACCATTTCAGTACCTCTGAGGATCTCATGGATCGTGGGTGGGGCCCCTCCCAACAACACGCCCTACCGAGCATGGCGCGACGGGCATAACCGGCGACGACGCTGGACAGCCGCTGGAGTTCCCTGTCCGTTGGTAAGAAGCACTCAATCCCCGTAAGCGCCACGTGATAAAGTTTACAGATAACCAGACATCGACGTAGTCTGTGCGGAACGCTGCGTAAAACCCAAAAACCACCCATGGAATGCCAAGAAGAGCGAAGAGCCTGGATACGTGCTGCAAGTTCGGGGCCATAACGTCCAGGCACACTCCCCACTATAACCCCCAAGCTGCGACTTGTACGAGCAGGACGTCCAGGGAATACCAGCGCACCCTCTTTCAAATCCCGGAACATCCCTCCCGCTCCCCGCCCGTGCACATGCAGTAAAGTATCTTGCTTGGTAAGATTCTGGCAGTGCCCTACTGGCGCAAGGACATCGTCTAAGTCGGCATTTGAGCGCATACTACACTCCACCAGCTTCGCACAAGGGAAATAACGAGGCACCACCAACTTCTTGGTGAGATCATCCGCGTACTTCGTGAGGGAGCAAACAACCTTTTCTGGAGAGAAGGGCAATCGTACATTGAGCACCTCGGGGGCTGGGTCCCAGCTCCTCTGCGCCTTTGTCCAAAGCTCTACCGGCCTCAGGAACGATCGCACGAACGAGTTGACAGCGAACCCGTCCCCCATCAAGCCGCCGCACTGTGGAGAAAGACACAAATCCCCGTCATGGGCCCCGACCCGGATAGACGCATACTGGAGACGCTGGAAACCGAAGCCTGTCTCGTGCTCCCGAAACAAGGGCCGCACAGCACCGCAGGGAACCCCGCTCGACGTCGAAGCAAACGCATTCGTCAGGTCATGTGCGTTCGTGATGAACGAATAACCTCTCTCCCAAAGGTGGTGCCCTGAGGCCATTTGTACAAGTAAGGCCCCCTCCCGACGTCGATGCTTCATGAATCCGTGGTCCTGATCGGTGGCCTGAAGTGCCCCCCGGAAGCCCACCAACCCAGCAATCCAAAGTTTCCCCAGCGGGTCCAGGAGATGAATCCACCTGGTCTTGCCGTCGGTGCGCGGCAGTGGCGCGCCTCGCGACTGATGCCACCGCAGCGGGGCAACTCCGCAGCAGCGAATCCGAGCAAAGCCCTGTATCAGGAGATCCCAAGCATAGCTGAGATCGGGAACGTCGGCATGATGCCCCACACCAGCGTGACCCGTATGCCACCGACGCCTAGGATGCAATAGCAACCGCCACAACTCAGCGGGCGGAGCCCATTCCGGCACGGCTCGGCGCTTAGCAACACGCAGCAGACGACGACGCAATTCTCTTACATCACGCCTGGCGGCACGCAAGTGCTCTTCTCCAACGTCTCGGCGAGGCACAACTGATTGAACAGGATCCCTCCAGCGGTCCCACTCCGGGATAACCAGAACCGACATCCCCCCACGATTCCCAGGGGCAGCGAACGACGACACCAAGGCAGCTCGGTCATCGACGCAACCTCGTACAGCTTGATAGTCTCGTTTTTTGGGGCCGAACCTGGTCCCCGCCGCCCTCCTGGCCAATCTCGTCGCTTCCGCCATCCTCCTGGCCCTCCAATTCTCCCTCACCTCCTCCAGGATGCCCTCTCTCCACCTCTGCCACTCCGCCCGACGATGGTTACGCTGACGACGTGATACCTCCCGAAGCTGCTGCTGAAGCTCCTCCTCCTCCTCCTCCTCCTCCTCCTCCTCCTCCTCCGGGGTGGCGTGGGACAGTCCAAGACGAATCCGCCGCCTCTGCTCGAGAAGATCCTCCCGCTGCCGCTGGGCATCTCGATCCCCAGGGGGCCGACGGTGAGGGGGAAATACTTCCTGCCCAACCGCGATCAAAACCTCATTGAACCGATCGACGAAGGCTTCCGCCGTCGCCCGAGAAGCCAAGCCCTCCAGCAAAAGCGCGTCTGCAGACAAACGAACGTGCAGCTGCTGCAAGAACTCCTCCCTCCTCTCCCCCTTCCTAAGACACCTCATAAGCGCATCCCGGTCCCGATGCACTGCCAGACGCTGCTGGTCGACCGTGCCGCCCGGCGCCAACGCGTAGTGCACTTTAGCGTGGACAAGCAGATGATCACACACGCGACGTGTAGAAATAAGTTGTAGCTCACGGCTCGTGGTGCGAAGCGGTCCGGTACTAAGAAGGTGCTCTGATAGACCTTTGGGCAAGCAGACGTAATCAATCATAGATGTCCCCCCGCTCGTAGAATAGAAAGTCGGATAAACTCCACGAAGGGCGCTAGTGGCCTGCAGCCCGTGCACAGCCAGGACATGGCCCATCAGGACACCTGCGTAATGCGACTGGCTAGACCCCACCCTGGAAACAATATCCTGCGCCTCGTCAAACACCCAGCCTTCTCCTCTGCACCGTTCCAGCCCGATCCCGTCGTTCAGGTCCATGCTGTACTACCGGGGTGGTTCTCGACGGAAGACTGGCAAGTTGAAGAGAAATCCATTCCGCTAGCCTAGTACATGTTGTTTCATACACTGGGCGGGACGCTATCTCTCGGGGGCGGTGCGGGAAGTAGGCGGCGACAATCGTGACGTCTAGATAACGGTTTTTGGTCCTTGATACAAGTCCACGACCCCGAAGTCCCTCTGGTGCTGGCGTCACGCGTACAATATCTGAGGGCCGCACTCGCCGACCCCACAAAATAGAGCAACCTGCCGCACTTGTGACGTATGGTGAAGGAGAATAGCCGGCTTCCAACAGCACCCTCCGCCCACTTCGCAAAGGCAAGATACGCTGTCTGACGAACGTCCCATGCGTAGCCTTGAGCTGCGTGCCTACCAATGCAAGCCCGTCCATCCCACCACATGCCTGACCAATCTCTTCCACTCGATCGTCGGTGTTCGCTCGGAGAGGGTTGAAGACACCTAGGGTGAGCGGGTACAACATAAAGACTTGCAGCCGAGAGTGACTTACCATCGGAGCACAAGGGTAACATGTAGGGCATGAAACATAGCTACGTTATCGGAGCGCCACGCCACTTCCACGCTGAGCTGCGTGGCTAGGAGGAGGAGGAGGAGGAGGGGGAGGAGGAGGAGGAGGAGAAGGAGGCGGCGGAACAGGAAGAGGAGGAGCAGGAGGACATGGAGGAGGAGGAGGAGGAGGAAATGCAGGAAGAGGAGGGAATGGAGGAAGATGAGGGAATGGAGGAGGGGGAGGAGGAGGAGGAGGAGGAGGAGGAGGAGGAGGAGGAGGAGGAGGGGAGGAACAAAGGAGGAGGAGGAGGAGGTACCGTTGCTGACTGAATCAGGGAGGCGGCGGCGGCGGCGGAGAAACCGGGGCAGGCGGCCAGGCAGAGCGTGAAGGCAGGAAAGATCGACAGGCAGGCAGGAAACGCCTCCTTTCTTCCTGCCGCCGATGGACTCTAAGAACAGCTGCATGACCTCCGATCCCCGCGATCGTCGTCGTCGTCGTCGTCAGCGTCGTCGTCGTCGTCTGTTGATTCTCGTCGTCGTCGTCGTCAACCCCCTGAGGAAGTCCTCCTCGGGCAGGGGTGGCAGAGGTTCTCGCCGTTTCCCCGCGGGCCAAACCCAATGGCACCATCGCTCTCATGCATATTTGGCAGGCCTTCTCTGATTAGTCTTGAATCGTCCCTGTGCTCCTGCTACTGTGCCCGAGGTCCCTCTTTCCTCCTCGTCACGACTCTATCTCTCTCTCTCTCTCTCCTTTCCCATCCTGTTCCCTCTCCTCATCTCGCCCCCCTCTTGGTCATACTCCTCCTCCTCCTCCATTTCCTTTTGTCCTCCTCTTTTCGTCTCTCCTGCACCTCCTCACTCTTCCTCCACCTCTCCTTCCCTCCTCCTCCTCCTCCTCCTCCTCCTCCTCCTCCTCCTACACCTCCTACACCTCCTCCTCCTCCACCTCCTCCTCCTTCACTCCTCCTCCTCCGTAGCCATTTTGGCTCAAGCCATTTTGGCGCAAACCATTTCGGCTCATGCCGGCCTGAAAGCCCCGGGTTGCCATTTACCTCCGCTCATGGCAGGCCCAGGTGCAGCTGCTTGAGGAAGATGGCGCGGGCGGGGTCGCCCCTGGATGGCGATCCCTTTGTGAAGAGGCGGTCGCGGACGGAGCGCACGGCTGCGAGGCGGCGCGCGGTGGCTGCGGCAGACTCTGGTCTGGCGGCGGCCCTGGCGCGCGTGCAGGAGCTGGAGATGGCCTTCGACATGCTGGTCGGCGATGCTGGTGTCGCTGATCAAGTTCGAGCTCTTCTGCCAGCGCTCTCCGCGGACGCTCGCGGAGTGGAGCCTGCACGGCTGGACAGGCTCCGCAGAAATGTGGTCCTCCACGCCGCCGCGCACGGGGTGGTGTCGCTGGCGACGGCGGACGTGCGTACCCTGCGGGCTGCGCAGCAGCACGGCCCTCGCTTGGGGCCCCCGGCGCTGGACGTGGTCAGCCCTCGGCAGCGGCGGCGGCCCTCGGCAGGCGGCGAGGCGGCAGCCCCAACCGGTGGTCACGGGCTGCGGGCGGAGGCTGCAGTTTTGGTCCCTGCGGGAAGCTGGGAGCCGCTGTCGAGGGGAATGCGCTGTACTTGTCGAGCGGCTCTGTCTTCTCGGACCTCGGCGGCCCACCCGTCGGGTTTCCGCGATACACGGGGACGCCACGAGCGCCCAGGAACGACGTGGAGGGCGAGCGGATCTCCCCTGTCACGCCCCTCGCGAGCGCGGCGCAACCCTCCGAGAAGGAAGGCCGGAGCCTGAGGGACGCCGCGGCCGTGGAGGGTGGCGCCCCCCCATGCTGCAGGCGGCGGTCCCAGGGCAAGTGGATGATGGCAGCATGGCAGGGATCGCGAAGGTGCTGACTACAAATAAGACCAAGACGGCAGTGAAAGGCCGCGGCCTCTCGGATGGCCGTGAGAAATCCGTCCTGCAGATGGCGGGCAGCGACGACCAGGTCATCGACAGCTTGTGCGCGCGGACCGCGCACGGGACGGAGCACGCAGAAGTGCTACTCCGCAGTGCGCTCTGGGAAGCGGCCGCAGCGCGCAGGCTGCTCCGCCGTGGCGGCACGGGGGCGAAGGCGGCGTGGCTGCTGCTGCGTGGGCTTCGGAGGAGCGACGTGCTGCGCGACACCGCCGCCCTCCGCGTGGCAGCGCTGCGGTGCGACGCCGCGGTGCTGCGGCGACCTGGACGAGCAGCGGGGCACGGCGCCCACCCGCGAGGCGGAGGAGATCGCCGGCGAGCTCGCGGGAGTCCGCGCGGACTCCCACGCGGAGGCCTCCGAGGCGCGCGGAGCGGCCGAGCTCGCCTGGGCGCCGCCCTCGCCCGCGCCTTCGGCGAGGAGGCGGTGGCGGGCGGAGCGGCAGACAGCGCGGCCCGCTGCCGACGCCCGCGCGCCCCTGGGGACGCAGCGGCGGACGCGGCGAGCTGAGGCTGTGCACGTCATGGACGCCGCCTTCGACCAGGAGGCGGGCTTCGTGGGCCCAGGTCGGCGTGGGCAGAGCCTGGGGTTGAACCCAGGGTCGGCCTACGCTAACGAAGGATCCTGAGGGGTCCCGTGTCGTGCTTTCGTCGTGCATGACCTTCTCGGATCTAGTCTTACCTCCTCCTGCCCTCCACCGCCTCCTCCTCCTGCTCCTCCTGCTCCTCCTGCTCCTCCTCCTGCTCCTCCTCCTCCTCCTGCTCCTTCTCCTCCTCCTCCTCCCCCTCCTCCTCCTTCTCCTCCTCCTCCACTCTCCTCCCCCTCCTCCTCCTCTCCTCCTCCTCCTCCTCCTCCCCCTCCTCCTTATTCTCTTCCTCTTCCTCCTCGTCCTCCTCCTCCTCTCCCTCGTCCTCCTCCTCCTCCCTCTTTTCCTCCTCTTCCTCCTCCTCCTCCTCCTCCTCCTCCTCATCCTGTTCCTCCTCCTCGTCCTCTTCCTTATTCTGTTCCTCCTCCTCGTCTCCTCCTCCACTCTCCTCCTCCTCCTCCTCCTCCTGCTATTTCTCTCTTCCTTCTCCTCCTCCTCTCCTCCCTCTCCTCCTCCTCCTCCTCCTCTCTTTCTCCTGCTCCTCATCCTCCCTCTCCTCTCTCCTCCTCTTCCCTCGTCCTCCTCCTCCTCTCCTCCCTTCTTTTCCTCTCCTCGTCCTCCTCTCATCCTCATCCTCATCCTCATCCTCATCTCATCCTCATCCTCATCCTCTTCATTCTTCCTCATCATCCTCATCATCCTCATCATCCTCATCATCATCTTATCATCATCGATCATCATCAGCTTCATCATCATCTTCATCATCTCATCATCTTCATATCAGCATCGCATCAACATCAGCATCAGTATCATCATCATCATATCTTTCATCATCATGATCATCCGCATCCGCATCAGCAGCAGCATCAGCATCAGCATTCATCAGCATCAGCAATCATCAGCATCAGGCATCCTGCATAAGCATCATCATCGTCATCCTCATCCTCATCCTCATCTATCCTCTTCATCATCCTTCACCTATTCCTCATCCTCATCCTCATTCCTTCATCTCTTCCTCATCCTATCCTCATCCTCATCCTCATTTCTCATCCTCATTCAGCATCGCTTCAGCTATCGCTTCGATCTGCATCATCATCATCATCATCCTCATCCTCATCCTCATCCTCATCCTCATCCTCATCCTCATCCTCATCCTCATCCTCATCCTCATCCTCATCCTCATCCTCATCCTCATCCTCATCCTCATCCTCATCCTCATCCTCATCCTCATCCTCATCCTCATCCTCATCCTCATCCTCATCCTCATCCTCATCCTCATCCTCATCCTCATCCTCATCCTCATCCTCATCCTCATCCTCATCCTCATCCTCATCCTCATCCTCATCCTCATCCTCATCCTCATCCTCATCATCATCATCATCATCATCATCATCATCATCATCATCATCATCATCATCATCATCATCATCATCATCATCATCATCATCTTCCGTCCTTTCGCCTCCCTCTCCGAGGCTCCCCGCCTCCACATCCCGTCTTGCAAGGGGAAGGATGCAAAAATATACCAATAGTCGGCGGCGAATCCAAGGGGAAATGAGAAGGGGGCTGGGCCTTCCCAGAAGGCTTGGAAGGACCCCGGCCTCCTGAGAGGTGGCCAAGGCCTTCCCCCGAGACACGGAACACTTTTCGTGAGTCACAAGGGTTTTTCAGAAGCCCCGCCGCCTTCTGAAAAGGCACAAAAAACACAGTGGGAAAAAAACACACAGTGGGAAAAACACACACAGTGTTTTTTGTGTGTTTTTGTATGTGTTTTCCCACAGTGTGTGTTTTGTGTGTTTTTGTCCCGCAGTGTGTGTTGTGTGTGTGTGTTCCTTCTCACTTCCCCCCTTCGCTCGCCGCCGAAAGAGTGGCCTGGAACGCTGGGATGCGGCACCTGCGAAGAGGCTGGGCCGCGCTGCGAGCACGCTCCCCCCCCTCTCTCTCTGACTGCACGGCCGTCACCAACACTGCCACCGTATGGCCGTCACCACCACTGCCCCCACCATCGCTGTCGCCGTCGCCACCGCCATACCCATCGGTCGTTGAAAGTAGGTATTTTGGGATTCCCATATTCCAATCTACTTTCAGCGCCTTCCTACTTCAAGAGTCGAGTGGTGTTCCCTCTTCCCTCCTCTTCAGCAGGCGGGCGGAAACCCAATCTATTTCCAACGCCTTCCTATTTCATGTTTCCAACTACTTCTTCCGACCGATGGGTAATGACACGAATCGCCATCGTCATCCTCAACATCGCCATCGCATCCGCCACATGCATAGCCGTCGCGAACATCAGCACCATGATAGTCACGGCAATCGAATGAATCACTCCTCGTACTCGTCCTGGCAATCCACCGACACCCGCTTGCCGGGGGTGAGAACACGCGTGAGATGATTGGCTGCCCCCCTCCGCGTTCCCTCCTCCTGCAGGGCAAACAATCGCAATCGAGGGGGTGGGGAGGCCGCCAAGGAGAGGGAAGAGCTCGCCAACGAAGACGGCCCAATGAACGCTGTGACGATCCGAGAGAACGTAGACACGGCCCATCTCCGCGACGGTACAACAATGCTTCCGCACTGCTTACGGGGCCTGCTAGACGGCCCCTGAGTCTCCCAGAAGGCTCCAGGAAACAACAATCGTCCCATTTCCTAGGGAAGCCGTGCATGTTCTGCGCACGAGCGTTTTTCGCTTTCGCAGAGATGTCGTCGAACCAACACCATTTTGGATGGTTCGGGCGCCTATTGGCAATTGAGCTATGGGTGCCGACATGGATCCCATGATAAAGCTTGCCGCGCCCATTTCCCCGGCGGTATGATGGCGACCAGTGCGAGACACTTCCGCTCTAATTCGTTTCTGTTGTAATCCAAGCACCGGTTTTCAACAACTTGATGCACTTCTCCGCCTTCCGCGTGCTTCGTTTAATCGACTCCCCTCCAGGTTCCAAATGCTCTGTAGAGTGCGTTGCTGTCGGAATGCCTTCCACCTTGACTACTAGGCTGTCTACGTCGGCCTCGCGGTCGAACGCCTGTGGAATGTAGTCTTCCTCCTGCCGACGGTCCAGCTGCAATCCTTTGCGGCGTCGCGTCCTGAGGATCCTCCTGAGCATGTGCTTCTGGGTACGACGTATCATGATCTTAAGCTCCACCGTGAGGGTCCGCGGTTCACAACCATACAACAATGCCGGCGTGATACCCCACCGAACAAGAGAGCAAGATCCGGGACAACATACCCCACCCTGATAACGTGGGTGTCCGTATAGCTACGGTAATGGTAGTAGACCGTGACCAATCGCAGCTTGAATTTGCGACTGCGAACGTCTACAAACCCAGCTCTCTCGCAAATGGGCTCCAACTGTCGGATCGGTTTTCCACATTTGCGCACCAGTCTGGCTCTTCCACGGGTTCGTTAGGGATTCTCCGCTGCCAAAAATGCGTGTCCTCCGTCTGTAACCCAGAACTCCTAGTTTCGGCAGTTGTAGCAAAATAGCAGATACACGTTCCACCCTCTTTCAATAGCTCTGTGATCCTGTCGTTGTCCGTCATTCCCCCTCGTGTTCCTATGAAGCAGAATGGGGTCGATATTTCCGTAACTGTTCATCTGATCCGTCGTATGCTCCTCTATGACATTGGCCGGTGTGTCCTGAGATGCACATAGTAAGGATTCTTGGGGGACACCGTCATCTATCAACTTGAGTTTCCCCCGGTCCCCTCCACCAAGACATTGTGGGCGACTAGATCCCTTGCCTAGTGAAATCTCTTGGCCATTGCACAGATTCGGCGAACACGCAGATTGCGTTGGTAGTTGTAGGAGTCGTCGAGGACGTGGGGCAAACAATAGGGAACCCATGTTTATCAAATCCGCGTTGAGCCTGAAACCGTGCTCCGTCGAAAACTTCTGTTCAAGGGTGAAACATCCTGAATCGATCCTCGTACTGGTACTCGTGCGCGGACTCGGCGTTGAGGCCGTCGTTTCATTCCCTCTTGAACTCTCTCACTGTCTCTCGTACCTCGTCCCTGGCCCCGAAAGTCTTAAACTTCCGCCCCCCATCAACTTTACCCATCAACGCCTCTGTGATTGTTCGACGCCCGTGTCCCAAAATATCCGAATCTAATGTTGATTGTGCCCTTTGCCTTTCAAATTGTGGCTGGCCCATCGTCTTGTCGATGATCCGCGTACCGTAAGTGTTAGCTGTGAACCGCATCTGATCTCCAGTCCCAGGTCACTTTCTTGCCTTGGTGAGCGTTTTTTCATTCGGCGTTTCGACATTGGGCGGCAAGGGGAGGGGAGGAGGCTGCTTGCGAGATTGCGGCCTGTGGGGGTGCTTCTTGCTGCTTACTGTTCCTTGTTGATGGACCGCGCGAAGGGGGGGGAGGCCCAAACGGGCAGGTTTAGCACGCCCTGAGCGTGTGCTCTCAATTGCTGGGGTGGGTAACAATTAACACCCCTCACGCAGATCGGCGGGGTCAGGGTCCAAAAACACATGGGATTTCCAACATTTCTGAAATTCGGTGGCACCCCTCACGCAGATCGGCGAGGTCAGGGTCCAAAAACATATAGATTCGCAACATTTCTGAAATTTGCTGACACCCCTCACGCAGATCGGCGGGGTCAGGGTCCAAAAACACATGGGATTTGCAACATTTCTGAAATTCGGTGACACTCCTCACGCAGATCGGCGAGATCAGGGTGCACAAACATGTGGAATGTGTAACATTTCTGAAACTCGCTGGCACCCCTCATGCAGATCGGCGGGGTCAGGGTCCAAAAATACATGGGATTTGCCACATTTCTGAAATTCGGTGGCACCCATCACGCAGATCGGCGAGGTCAGTGCCCAAAACCAATGGGAGTTGCACCATTTCTGAAATTCGGTGGCACCCCTCACGCAGATCGGCAGGGTCAGGGTCCGAAAACCCAGAGGATTCTCAACATTTCTGAAATTCGGTGGCACCCTTCACTCGGATCGACAGGGTCAGGGTCCAAAAACACATAGGATTTGCCACATTTCTGAAATCCGGTGGCACCCTCACACAGATCGGCGG